ATTTTATCAATTTTGTGCATTTCATATTTAAAATAATAATTAACGATAAATACAATTATCCATTGGCTCCAGGAGCTGTAGGTTATCCTAATCTGCAAATACTAAAGCTCCTTATGTAAAATGGTAGAATCTTTGTATTTAACCTATGCAGATCCTGCTGCATATATTAAATTGTCTAGAGATTATTTATAATACTGGATGCACTGTTTACACATCATCTCATTTGTGTGAATTTGTGATATTCATCGTGCATTAATATTCTTCTTTTTCCTTTTTGGAAATTTGAGGAAATTTTTTAAAGTATTTTGAACCCATGGTTCATTGAACCCACATATGTGGAAAATAGAAACAAAAAGGAGAGGCTAAAGAAAAAAATTATTCAAAGGCATCTAATGGAAAAAAATGTACTTTTCCTGATAGTTTATGTATGCATAAATTATTTATAACTAGAGTAATGTGTAATGTAAAATTAGCATCAGTTCTATTACTATTTGTGTTTGTTATCTGTGAGACAGGATAGTGCATAAGGAGACCTATTGAAGACAGATTTAGAAAATAGATATGTGGAAATTGTAAATATGCAAAGTCATTTTTTAAAAAACAGTTTTGTGCTCTGAGTGGTCTTTGGACATCAGCAAGTATAGCCTCTACAGTGAAACTTGCTGAGCTAATTGAACTCTAGAGTCCCCTTCAGCAAGAGGTTCCTCAGTTACACCACCCATCAATAAATCTACTACCATGAATAAGATGTCATAGATTTATTTTAGAATCATATTATATAGTGATTAATAACATAACCAAATGCTCTTTATGAGCTACAACTTTCTATACTTCAGTTTTCTGATTTGTAATTCAAATAATGATGATGCTAATTGCTTCATAAGGTAATGGTAATATTTAAATATGATAATGTACCAAATTCCCCAGTGCAAGACAGATGCTTTATAAATGCTAGCTGTGGTGGCAGCATAACGATAATGATAATGAAAAATCATTAAGTACTTGATCTCTTTATCAGCACCATGATTAGTTTATTCTGGGGTACAACAGTAAGTGTTACTAAACTGGGTATAGTATAAGCTGATTTATATTGCCAAGTCTGTGAAAATAATTCTTTTGTTCTTATGATAACAGATGGTCAACACCAGCTGGACCAGTGTGTCCCATTTTGTATTACTGGGCATCTCTACACACCCAGATGAACAGATTCCGCTCTTCCTTCTCTTTCTACTCATGTACATAGTCAACGTTGCTGGCAATTTTTCCATCATTACACTCATTGTCTCTGCTCCTCACCTCCACACCCCCATGTACGTCTTTCTCAGTAATTTGGCCTTGGCAGATATCTGCTTCACCTCTACCACAGTTCCCAAGATGCTGCAGAATATTTTTTCCTCTGCAAAGGCCATTTCCTACGTGGGCTGCTTAGCCCAGACTTACTTTTTCATTTGCTTTGCAGCCGTGGAAAACTTCCTCTTGGCTGTGATGGCATGTGACAGGTACCTGGCCATCTGTCACCCTCTCCGCTACCCCACAATACTGACTGGAATGCTATGTGCACAGATGGTGATTCTGTGCCATGTTCTCTCTCATCTTCATGCCCTACTGCACACCCTTCTCATGGGTCGACTGACCTTCTGTGGGGACAATAGGATCTCCCACTTCTTCTGTGACCTCTATCCTCTGATGAAGATCTCCTGCACCAGCACCCACCTTAACACGTTAATGATTCATACAGAAGGTGTGATTGTCATCAATGGAGCCCTGGCTTTCATTACTGCCTCCTATGCCTTCATCATCTCAGCGGTCCTCCGGATCCCCTCAGCCAAGGGCAAGTGGAGGACCTTTTCTACCTGTGGTTCCCATCTCACTGTGGTGGCTATATTCTATGGCACCCTCACATGGGTCTACTTCCGGCCCCTTTCCAGTTACTCGGCGACCAATGGCCGCATCGTGACAGTCATGTATACAGTAGTGACTCCCATGTTGAACCCCTTCATCTACAGCCTGAGGAATGGAGATGTCAAAGAGGCCTTCAGGAAATGGATGAGAAGACTATAGCCTTCTTTCTGTGGATAAAACCTCAAAGAACATTCTGAGTTTTAATTAGTATGCTTGAGAAACAATTTTCTCCTTCACAGATCTACTTCCTTTAGAATGTCCCAGAAAGACTGATGCAGGAGGATTACAGGTTTGAGGCCTGCCTGGGCTACAGAGTTCAAGACTAGCTTGAACACTTTAGTTAGACCCTCCCTCTAAATTAGAAGTAAAAGGAGGGAATGGAAATATAAAACAAAAATAAAAATGTCTGAGAAATATCTAGATTGAATATATGTCAAAGATTTTTCTCATCAGATACTGTTCTAAAGTATTTCTTAAGTCCAAAACACGTGAAACCAAAGGATATTACTGAGTAGTTAGTGAAAAATATGTGTTTCACTGAAATTGATGATGTTCCATAGACCTGCACTTAAACAATAAACAGAGTTGTGATTCTCAGAGTACATAAAATGCAATTCTGCCTGATTTGTGGAGGAAATGAGTTTCTACACAGGCTACATGGATCTTGTGAGTTACAAAAGCTAGGGTGTGGGATTTTAAAATCAGTAAAGAGTAGGAAAGGTCATATAATCGAAATCACAGTCAAAGTCATAGCCCAGCATTAGGTTAAGAACTGTACTGTAATCTCCAAACTCTGTCCACTGCAATATATACCCAACACTGACAGCAATAGTCACTGTGTACAACCCCCAGAGACTTGAAAACTAGATATTACCGGAACTGCTCACATATTTTTTGCATTACTACCTCTAGATTCAAAATGAGGTGATGTATCTGATTGGCCAAGACTGAGTCACTTTCCCCTTCTAACTGCCAGGGACACTATGGCAACAATGCTGGTCCTTGTATTTTCTGGAGGCTTCTTTGAGAAAACTAAAATGGGTTAACTACTTCAACATGGGAAGGACATAATAAGAATGTTTATTTCAGAATCTATTGGAAGCCCAGAACTAAGCATTGTAGCTTTACCTTCCTATAGGACGCAAACGATTATGACACTAAGAGGAGGAGACAAAATTGTGATTTTGTATAGTATAATAGGAAGACTTCTTGTAGCATAAACATAAACCTTTTTAACATAATTTAATCTATTAAAATTGAATAAAATATAGGATGGCTTATAGATTTAAAATTGATCAACAGAATTTAGTATTTAATTTATATTTGGGAAATTTATTTAATTTTCCTTTGTCTTGTACCAACTACTATATTTAATAATGTGGAGATAATGCTGTGCTGCTGAAAGTGTTTTGAGAGTTAATGAGATCATATATGCTTATCTCTCTATATTGTTTTTCATTCTAGGACCTAAAATCTTAATCAAAATTCATACCATTGAAATGGATTTGAGAAGCTATGGTCACTGAGTTCTTGGCTGTACCTAGATGATAAATTCCTCCCAGCTAAAGAGGAAACAATCAGAACAAATACATCATCACAACTTCTCCTCTATTTATATTAGGAGATATATGGTCTCTGTTGATCTTTACATCTATTACTGTCACCTTGTTTTGCTTTTGGATTCTGGGGACCAAACCCAGGTCTGCACATATGCTAGGCAAGCATTCCACCTCCAAGCTACATTCCCGGATCTAATAATGGCAACTTCTTACTTTTTAAAATTTTTGACTAAAAACATTTTGTGTTAATTCTAGAATTTCTTACAATGTATTTTGATCATATTTAGACCCTCTCCGCCTCCTTCCAATTGCCCCCCCAACTTCATGTCCTTCATTGTAATTTATCTTTTTCTTTTTAAAATTTTTATATTTATTTATTTAAATTTGGAGGGTTGATTTTTTTCTTATAACACTACCTATATTTTGGATAATAAAATATTCAAATAGTTAACATAAATAAATAAATAAAAATTGGCCAACTAAATCCAAAACATGTAGGAAAAGAATGCTATGCATTATGAATATTGTCTGTTATAAAGTCCATTAATTGAATCCACCACTTTAGCAGATTACAGGAAGAAAACAGAATTTGAAATCTTACTGGATACCCAAAGATAGTCAATGAAATTCAACTTTATTTCTTGATAAAATAATCAAGAAACTAGTAGGAAATGAAAAATGACTTTCTTGTACTGGTTAAATGTATCTACTCAAAATCTAAATAAACATCATATTTAATGCTAGACTTAAAGAAATGATGTTATTAACACTAGATCTAGAAATACAGTTTTAATATTCAAATGTTATAAGTTCTATATACATGGAAAAAGTTTTACAGACATATAGTAATTTATATGTGAATACAGTAAATTTAATGATTATAAAGTTAATATATCAATGTCCATCAATAGTTGTAAATGTAATTTTAAATCAGTGTCTTAGATTTCTATTGATGTGTGGATAGGAGAGGGGGTTCTAAATTTGATTGAGAACTATTATACAAAATGCTCAAAAGTCAATAAAAATATTTTAAAAAGAAATAGTGGATCCTAAATATTTTATGAAGGTTATTTAGCTCACAGTACTAGTACTTCAAAGGCATAACACAAGCACTACCTTAGCTCTGGCAAAAGCGTCATAAAAGATTCAGTCCCTATGGTGGGAATCCGTGGAACAAGGAGAAATCAAATGGCGAGACAGAAAAGGAACTGGGGTTCCCTTACAACTGTGATCCCTCCTGTAGCACTTTCCAGTGACCTCATGAGCTCTAAGAAGAGAAGCAAAAAATGAGACTCCTTTTTGGACCCCACCCTTAAAGTCCCACCAGGTCTTCAGTATCACCATAATGGAGGTCAAGATATCTAACTATGAAACTTTGAGCTTCACACACACACACACCACATTTGCTCTTGTCTGCACCCCTTTCTTCTCATCCTCAGTCATTCCCAAACCTTAGCTCCCTCCAGCATTGCTCAAAAGTTCAAATTCTAGCCTTAGGTTCCTAAGCCTGATATCAATGTCAGCTAGACAGATCACAAGACATAGGGGAGAACGTAATACAAGTTTTCTACTAAATAGTTATAGTATTAAACTGACTTTTAATGACATTGTTATACCCATAGATTAATACATCTCTCAACTCTTACCAGAGAAATTTCCTTATGCAGCAGATAGTGCGTAACACACAACTAGCCAACGTACAGAGAACAAGAGGCTAAAGGCTGCTTATCCCTTAATAGGACAACCTATATCAAACTTCTGCCTCCCAAGGCTCAGGGATCATTGTGGAAAAGATGGCACAAAGATTGTAAGAGCCAGAGGGAGTGGATGACCACAAGAAAACAATTTTCTAGGCAGCTAGTCGTTTACATTACTCATATGAACACACAGTAATGGTGACAGCATGCACAAGTTCCATACAAGCTGAAACCAGACAAAATCTCAGCATAGACCTGAGGATGAGATCATAACTTAACCTAAGGAAATCGTGGCAACTGATGGCTGCTGGAGGGACAGAGACAGTCTCTTTCAAGGATGGGACTCTTAACCAGTCTCCAATGGATGGACTATACTGAAGGACATTTGGGGAAACTATAATTAGATTCTATAAGACTTATTATACATATAATAGACTACATTAATTTGGTCAGGGGGTCAATAAAAGGAGGTGTGGATGGGGAGGTGATACAAATACCATCAAATTATATTGTATGTAAATCACAAAAATTCAACAAGAATAAATAAAGTTAGAGTTCAAATTTAATGTCTCATCTGAAATTCAAGGCCATTTATCCTATTCTAACCCATTGTAAAATCAAAACCATGTTGCCTGTTTTCAAGATACAATAATGGTCCATAATTGAACTAAAGATTACCATTCCAAGAGAGAAATAATGAAGTGGGAATAACTGGCTCAGAGCAAGACCAGAATGAATCAAGGTGGATACTGAATCATATAGCTCTATGGCTGAGATCCTGTGAGCACTGCTCAAAGGGGGGGAGTAAGACTTGAGCATTCCCATGCCTTGACCATCTTGATCCGACTGGCTAATTTTATGGGCTACTAGTTCATCCTAATATCACTTCCTGGAAACCTTGATATAGTACTGGTTGCCTTGTCTTCTTAGATGCCTGTGGTTCAAGAGACAGGTTGCACCAGTGGTTGGTGCTGCATTGCAGGCTTTTCTTCAGGTGCTGCACCTTAACAGTGACTTCATGCTTGATGTTTCTAGCTTTCTTTAGAAGTTTTGATGGAACATTTCATGAAATCATAACTTTTGTATTGTATAAAACAGAAAAACTAGTGATGCACAGATAACAAAGTCTGGTAGGTGTATGAAAAATATCTGGGCTCATTTTAACCACATAATATTTAAATATAATGGAGAGAGACAAATTCCAAGGTGGCCCTGGCAGTAAGCCCATTCAAATGGCTCAAACTCAATCCCCCAAATAATTGCATACATTGAATGCCACTGGTTCTGTGATAACAGAAGCAGACTTGATGATTTTTCCCTTTTTAAATTGAATTTTTGTGAATTTCACACAATACATTTTGTTATATTTAGACCCCTCTCCTATATGCACCCTTCTTACAGATGCCCCAGCAGGTGGATTTCATGTACTGCATCATCTATATTAAGACCTATAGAGTCAAGTTTGTGTACCCAAATGGAAAACTCTTTCCCTGTAGTCATTAATCACCTCTAGGTCCTAAAATCCTTCTTGGGTGGCAGAGATTGATATAGGTGTTCTATTCAGAGATAAACACTCTGCAGTCTCTTATTATTTGCTCTTTGGCCAGTTGTGGTTTTCTACATTAATCACCATCTGTTACATGAAGAAACTTCACTGGTGAGAATAGAGAGAGGCATGAACATTATTTCTGCCTCCTGTTCCTATGTTCCCTGAGCCTTAGGTACAGAAGTTTCATTGCAGATGTGTCACTTAGGGCTGGGCACTTCACAGACATTCATTCTGTGCATTTGAACAGTTGTGAGACTTTTCAATAGTCTCCATCTGTTGTAGAAAGAAGCTTCTTTGATGACTTGTGAGAGATACACTTTTCTGTATATATAAGGATACATATTTTAGAATACT